ATAATACATATATATATATATATAAAGGTATTTAGAAATCTATCCTAACAAACTAAGATATAATATGATATGGATATGGATATGATATGGATATTGATATAGATATGATACGAATATGGATATAGATATGAATCTATCAAATCTAACACAAACAATAAGTGTTAAAAGGTATGGCTTGTGAATTCAGCACCATCATTAGTTCCTACTGTTATTAGTTGATGGAATGGCATAGGGACCCCATAGATCCAAATGTAACAATTCAAAGCACGATGAGACATGAGAGAAACTTTTATTAAATGGGAGCTTCTTTTGTTTAGGATGTGACAAGTCTCACAGGTGTAACGTGTCCGGAAGCTAACACGCCCGGCGCCTAGGCCACGCCCGCACTGAGGCCTAAACCAGCCGTCCCCTGTGTGCAACACGCTCGGGATATGCCATACAGTATAGGAGAATAATGCTGAACACGTACCTGCACCAAGACATATGCCGTCAATCAGCCGTACAGGACAAAGGCTCGCACACATCGGACGAACTATGGCTGAGAACATGGGGCAGGAATGACAACCTATGACAATACTCCCCCACTTTAAGTCGCAAACGCCCCCGTGCGATGCTATTCAAGTGCATTGACATTGTTTCTTGCACTCTCGGTAGGCCTCCGACGTCACTCCGTTGACCCTTTTCTGCATACCCTCACTCTTCGTGCTCACCAACAGCCAGCGAAGTCTTTTGTCATAGACAACCCACGTACGACCCATTCCACTGCAAATCTCCTCACACCATGCGGGACATCCTTTGTTGCGGCTTATGCATTTTTTGCCCGAAGAATGTCCTTAACATAGTTTTTTCCTCACGATCAAAGCTCGGCCACCTTGGCCAACAAGCAACGTCGAGCATACTCCCCCACCCTAGGAGTATTCCCTCTCGAGAATGTCCAATTCCCTTAGGACATGCTCCTCCTTGACGTGCCACCGACATACTCCTTCACTCGAGCAATGCCCCCACTCATTCGCTTTATTCACCACCACTGTCAAGGTTCGCACTGATACCATATGTAACGTATCCGGAAGCCGACACGCCCGACGGCTAGGCCACGCCCGCGCTGAGGCCCAGACCAGTTGTCCCTTGTGCGCAATACGCCCGGAATATACCATACAGTATGGGAGAATAATACGAAACAAGTACCTACACCAAGAAATATGCCGTCAATCAGCTGTAGAGGATAAGGGCTCGCACATATGGGACAGATTATGGCCGAGAACTTGGGGCAGAAATGTCAACCCGTGACACAGAGCCTACAAGTGAATCGGACATGCCAACACAAGCCAAACATTGCGTAACTTTATCTTAAGGATGCCTAAGTCTGTAGTTCCATAGGCAATTCTTATTGAATAAAAGTAGTTTCAAAAACATTCTAGTGACGGGCAGTAAACATGACTCCTGAGCTTTCCTTTCCCAATTTGAGCTTTACTTCTTAGGTTCTATAGAATGCAGTTAGTACTTATTAGCCATAAAGTCACAAGTAATTTAGAGTTGGGACACAACTTGTCAATAGATATGAGGCAGTATGTGAAGTTACGAATAAAAAAGACATTGTGCAGGGTACAATATTTCCAATGTGAGTTTCCATCTATGTAGTTATATTTGGCAAGATATCTTAGCTAGTTTTCTTAAAAGGAATTTCATCAATTGAAATGACTATTGTTGTTGCTCACATGGCATGTAGATCTTGAATCAAGATCCAAGATTCCTTAATGTCAATATCAGTAGTCACTTTAAGAAATTCATTACTGAAATGTTTCACTTCCAAGCATGTTGAGATGATCCAGAGTTTTGGATCTCTCTTTAAATTAATTCGGTTGGATAATCTATGGTAATAAATATTGTTCTTGATGTAGAACATATTCCCTCATCAAAAACTTAAAAGGATGTGATTGTGTTCGCCGGGCTTCCACAGATCCCTTTCACCACTTCCCTTTTTTTCATCTTGAGCATTCTTGCACCATTCAGGAGGCCAGGCCATGGAATTTGAAGCATGTCTCTTCGGTATGACTTATTCTTTTGCAATGAACACATGCTAATGCATTCTTGTACCACCATTCAGGAAGGCCATGGAGTTTGAAGCATGTCTCTTCGGTATGACCTATTTTTTTACAATGAACACACCCTAAAGCTCTCTTGTCAGTCCTCCTTCTTTCAAAAGCTTTAGATGATGCTTGTAACTCATAAGCATAGCATATGATTTGTCAAAAAAGAGGAAACGGTTCATCATCAGGATTTGGCTTCTTATTGCATCATATGTCAAGTAATCCTATCTACGTATCCATGACATCTTGTCTACTAGAATAAGTTCCTCCAACTCTTTCTTCTCTCCAAGCATTGGAGGTAGGTAGCATAGGTCATCATTCAATTTCTTCATTTTGGTGAAATAGGTTTCCATGCTCATGTTGCCTTTAGTGAGGTGTGAGATATCTCTTTGCAACTGATAAATCAATGGCCCATTGCACTTACCATATCTTTCCCCTAGAACTTCCCATAGTTCACAGCTAGAACTTCCATAACCAAAAGCATATGTCAAATGTTGTTAGATGAAATTCAAAATCCATTGAAGAAATACAAAGCTGGAATAGGAGCTCGGGAATGAGGAGGGAGCAAGGCCCCGTTGGTGTACAAGGCAGGGGCAGGCTTAGGCTTGCTTTCGCAAGCTTCGGATTTTATTTATCAATTTTTTACTATTTTTTTGCTAGGTCCTTTGTATGTCTCTTGTTTACTAAAAAAACTTATTTTTATCTTAGTAAGAATTATTAATACTACCTCCATCCAGTAAAAGTAGCACACTTTGGTTTGGAACGAAGATTAAAAAAAAAAATTATTGGAAGAGAGAAAAAACTTTTAAAAAATATGAAGAACAAATATAATAAAGGCAATGATATTTGTTGTAAATAAATTTTGAATGAAGAGTGATAGTGAAATGTTTATTTTTTTTACTTTGTCAAAATTAATAACGAGGTAAATTTATCGGACAAATGAAAAATAGAAAGTGAAAATAAATTTGGTGGATGGTGGGAGTAGTATTTAATCAAAAGTAGTTGGGGTTTGAGAGGGCATTCTTAGTCTTGGAAATAAAATAGCTTGTAGGCTTTCACAAATAAGTGACTCTGTTTCGTTGTTGTTCGGGCATACGGTTGGCATCATTTAATTGTTCTCATCTGGGAAATAGATAAGTAGAAATAATCAAACAATATCAACCGTTTTCCAAAATAACAATCAAACAAAATCAACTATTTACTCAAAAGTCTCCAGACTATTTTATTTCCAAAAGTAAAAATGTCCTCTCAAACATTACCTACTCAAACACTACCTACTCTTGATTAAATACTACTATTAAACCTTACCAAAATTAAAATAAATCCATCCAAATAAGCAGAGACAAGCCCAACTCAAAATAATAAAAGTTCATAAATAAAAGCCCAAACAAAGAAATTATAAAAAATTGATCAAAAAAAGCCCAATCTAAGAAATAATAGCAAACTCATAAATAAAATCCCAAGCCGGGAAAAGCAAGTCTTAGACCATCTCCGCCTTCGGTACACCAAATGGAGCCTTGCCCCCTCATTCTTGAGCTTTTGTCCTTGCTCCCTATAAACTCCATCCTCATTCGAAATAACCTTGTCCTCGAGGTTGAAGTTAAAAAACTCTTTGAAAATTGGCTTTAGTCTTTCAAGTCGTATCATCAACTGATTGCCCTACCCATTAAATCAACAACTACTTTTTCATTCACTTTTCTCACACCACTATCGCAAAGCCAATACCTCCTCAGGCTCAAATGCCGGCCCCACCGGAAACTTCAAACTCTCTGTAACTTTACCTCCATTAGTGGTAGCCCACCACTCAGCACATCATCATATCATTTTTTAACTCCATTCATCCACCATGTCACTTGAAATTCATGGGCACCATTTCCCAATTTGTACAAACTTCTCCCAACATGGCAAGCCACGCAAATCCCATAATTATATTAACCCATCCCAAGGAGAACACATAGTAGCTACCTCAATACCGCACCTCTGAAATGAGATTAGTAATTGCCTGCGCACCGCTTCTAACTCTTGTCCGTCACCTAATTGTACTCTGAATTTGCCCATCTTATCCAAGTTCAATATAGCATAGAAACTGAGGAAGAAATAAAATTGTGGCTTACACCACTAACAATCAAAATCGTCACCATGCATTATGAGAAAAGGGATCCAAGGCTCCACCTCAAAACCAATTGGTGATAAAGTAGAGTTTTCCTTCACCCTTATAAATAAGATGAGCTCTCAACATTCTTCCAATGTGAGACACTAAGACTCCTCACTCTAGATGATATTCATCTCGAAACCCGGATCAATATCCTACCCTATAGAGCCACTCATAACTCTGATACCATGTGAAGAAATGAACCGAAAAATATGATTCATGTTTTGGGTTGTTCCACCCAGTACATATATTTGGAATACATAAAGATATAAAAGGAAAAATCTAATCTAATCGCAAAATCCTAGGCAATAAATCAATCTACCCTAATTCATTGATTTAAGGGATTTAAATACAACATATTTATAATTAATTATTTGTAAATCTACATTAATTACATTGCATAAACTAGCCATGTATTTTACTAGAGTAAAACTAGTTTAGCATTGGTTCATATTTTGGTGTAACGTTGCTAGTTTGAGGGGATTTTACATTCAATTATACTTCCTCATTTTATATTTTTGGTTAATTAAATAGATTCACTAGCAGCCCTGGTAATCCACATTGATATCAGTATACTACAAATATAGTAGATAGACTATCTAGGCCTATATGTTATCTCAGAAGGCAATAACTGTGCTGTAAAAGACAATTTCATTCAATGTTCATTACCAGACAGGTTTACATATACATATATATATATATACATATTAATTCTACATCTACAACTTCGGAAAATGAAGTAATTATTAACCGTATTATACCTGTGCATTGTCCACTTGGACAATTTCCACAAATGATGTTCACCTGAGAGTGACAAACTTATGGTTATAATACAAAATAATCAGTTTGTTGCATTAATCAACTCATAGCAGTACCATGAGAAAAGAAAGAAGTAAATAGAACTAGAGAACTGTGACAAATGAAGCAAAACTTGTTGAACAGTCATTCAGCTGACCTGTGCTGTACGTCCCAACTTATCGTATGTTTTCTCACAATTCATTAGGTCACCACCATAATATTCCTGACAATGAGAAAGGAAAGCTTTAAAAAAAAAAAAAAAAAAAAAAAAGAGAGAAAAAGAGGATGGCATATCAAGGCCGGCCAACATCTTGCAAGAAAAAGTCACATAAGAAATGTTGAAGATGAATTTTATCATAAAACAATAACCACATAAATTTGTTTAAGTAGAACATATGAAAACATAACTTCAGCTTCTCTACTCAAAAAGATAAAAGGTCAATTCAATTCGATGATACTGGGAGCTCAAGAGCTCAAGATCCCACTTCCTCAAAATGTTTGTATAGATCACATAGACTCGGAATTGGATGTACCTTAATATGTGAGCCCATCTCAGCAAATGATAGTATATAAACTCAAGAAAGATAAAATAAATAAATAAATAAATAAAAATTAGTAAAATATAGATAAGAGTATCAAGGGCCGCTAGGGGTGATGAACCAGAAATATCAACAACTTTACAAAATCTAATATTGCCAATCAATTTTATTATGTTAACATGATATAATGTTCAATTGCTCAAATTTACTAAACATTTTCACAAGTTATATGTAAAATACGCATTCAACACTATTCATTATGTCAAGCAACACAACTTCAGTAAAATTCAAAGAGAGATGGTGATTAAAATTAATACAAATAAACATGGTACAAGGAAAGTTGTGGTGGCAGGGAAGGTTAAAAGAAAAAAGTCATAAAATTATCATAGCACTTAAAAAGAGGTGATTGAGCCCCTATAAATTTCTTCAAGGTTTTTGTTCATCACAAGAAAAGCACTCGAGGATTTAAATGCAGATACTTTGTCCCAAGTAAACAGTACAATCAAAATTCTCATAATAAATTAAGGACACCTGCACAAAGTTAACATGTCCTGTTCCGGCAACAAAATGGTTGAACTTGTCAAATCGTCCAAAAGCCACATATCCCTATTAATTGAGTTTCAGATGATTCAAAGCGATTAGTCTGTGGTGTCAATAAAGATAAATGAGTAACGCTCACATTTAAAAAGAAAATGTTAGCAAAGTGCAAGGACAATGACACATGCTTCAAAAGTTATTATGAGATAGTGGATATCAAAATATCTGGCAGTCAAGATTCTTAATTCCTCCTAAAGGATTAGAGAGAATGTTAAGGATTATATAATGTCCCGTGTGTGTATATATATATATATATAGATCCCATTGATGCAAAACTCTACATAAATAGGCACAAAAGGAATTAAAGAAGGAACGGATCTAAGTTAAGGCACAATTGCAGCTATTTCCCTATTCTGTGGATGCTGACTAGTCCCAAAATGACAGCTAAACGTAACCCTGAGATTTGACCAGATTTCTAACCTAACAATTATAATTTTCAGCACCCTCTCAAGCTGGTTTGCATTATTCATCCTTCCATTGCCACCTTGCTAATCAAATGACCAGATTGATGTTTGTGCTTCTTTTGCAAGTATATCTGAATGGTGAAATCTGTTGTTTTGTTGCAAGCTATGGCATGCATGTCAGCTCTTTTTTTCAATTTTCTCCCTGATAAAATGCTTATCAACCTATACATTTTTAGTTTAATCATGAAGGAATGGGATATTGAGCAAATGCAATGGCAGTCTCTACAACTTCAATAGAGATAACATGGAATTTTTAAGCCCTTTAGCATCTTTTGAATCCACAACACATAAAATATTCCATAAGCAACTACTTCAGGCAACCAAATCATGTTTCTTGCGTCACCATGCAACTGAATTCCCTCCTAGATCACTTCCTGCCCAATCTGCACCGGAAGGTGTCGATGTTTGTTACATAATATCCCTTCACCAAGTGAACACTTTAGGTTTCTTAGGGTCCTGTGTACTACAACTTCAAAGTGTTTTTGACCTAGTGAATGAAGGAATTGAACAACTTATGCCACATTAGGATCTGTACTAAATAAATTAATTAATATTCCAAAGGGAATTTTTATTTACATCTCTCACATCTTCAGCTTCAGAATGTTACAAATTCAGATTCAGTTTCATCAGAATTTCAAATGCTTTATAATCTTAAGGACTACTAGATAATATTAGGAATTATAATGCTTCAGTCATAAATCTATTCGAACTCCTATAGAAATCAGTAATACTAGCATTAAAGAAGGAAATTGTATAGAAGGGAGTCACAGCTATTTCCCAATTCTGTAGATATTCATTAATCCAAAAATTACAGCTAAACATAGCCCTGAGATTTAGACAAGATTTTTAGCCTAACAGTTATTCCAACACATACCTATCTGAATTTTATGCTTCTCAACTCTTCTTTTCATGGGTTTTATCAATGCAAATGTAGATTGTAAGATGTTGGCTCCGTACTGTTTTCTGGTGATAGTAATCAAATAGAAGATGTATGTTTATGGGGCAAGTAGTTGAAACTCTGAACTTTATACGTGTGCAGACTTAATTCAACAGATATGAAATTAGTTGTAAGAATTTCTCAAAGCGTTGTATTTAATAAGAAAAATGAGTAAAGAAGAAATTAACTACCGGTTGTGATCTTGTCTCAACATCTTTACAAAATCGCACCACTAGATCATTGGCCTGCCAGAGAATAGAGATATTCAGAAGCATAGTCTACAGTCCAACTTTCCATAATGAAGGTATCAGGCCATAAAGTCAGTACATGCATTGTAAGCTGTTGTTAATTTCATAGCACATCTTACCTTATCATCATCATACTCAACAATTTGTCCGATCAAATTACTCTGAGAAAACATGTAAAGGAGGTAATTTAACAATAAAAAGAGGCTAACTGAGTCCTTTGGATTTTAAAGCCAACATGTGATACTATGTAGTACTCCTTAGTTAAATTCAATTTGATGTTTTTCATATTGTACACTCCATGGAAAGCAGTATGCCACTGTGTCAAAGAAAAACATTTGCCCCATGTTGATACTCTATAGTGCTTGTAAGCCAGCATTACCAACTTACGCTGTATTGAATAACCTGACGCATAAATACCATAACAAGGATACAAAATCATGAATGTGACTTGTGTTGTCAAGGGCATAACAGCTAGTGATCGGAACTACCACCGCACCACCACCTTCAAATGCGTGAAGAATAACAGCTGAAAAACAACCCACAAAACCAAGAATTAGATCTGCTATAGCGTCAAAAACAAATAAAATCACATAGCCCTCCCCTGCCACGTTAAATAACACATTTCGTTAAAATCGCTACCTGCAAATACTACAACCAGAGCTCCAGCCATCTCTTCAGCATCAAAATTCCTCCAATTCGTAACGCTGAATGGAAGCGGAAACAAACGTACAGAATGTTAAACGACGTCGAGTTGCGGTGCGAGCGAAAACTTCTTCAATGCCAATCTAATTGGACCTCCGAAGTAGCACTGGGCCAATAGCTAAATGGTGGGCTGGAGACCTTGTTTGAATTTTTATTAAGTGTGTTTTTTAAAAATAAAAATAAAAAATAAAAATTACATAAAAGACTATACGTTTTTTTAAAAAAAAAATAATATATTTTATATATGCATATTATTTTTATATTATTTATACCATTTTTATAATTAAAAAAAATTAAATAATTTAAAAAAAATAGAGATATTTATCTTTTTCATCCGCCAATACTTATTTAAATTTACAGTAATTTAATATATTTTTAAATATATATAATATTTTGGGATGAAATGGGTGCTAATTTTTTTTTTCAAATTTTTTTACATTTATTTAGGGATGGCAACTGGAAGGCCCTATTAATAGGTGGATTTTGATTCAAATTTTCAGGTTTAGGATTTTAAATATGGTTTGGGTGATAAATTTGATCAAAAATTCATCTCCGATTTATTTTAATTAATACTCTATATTCTCTAAATTTTAAATTCTATACTTTTACATTTTGATTACTTCTATTTTTTAAATTTTTATAATTTTCAATTATGCTTATATTTTTTTTTCAAATTATTATTCTCTCAACTCTGAGTAATCATTATATTAATATTACGTTGGTTAAAAATATATTATTGTTATAGTGATTGAAATTTTTGAAATTTAGAATATTTGATGTTGAATTTTTTATTATGTTTTATTTTAAAAACTATATATCTATAAAATAATATATATATTTTGTAAAATAAGAGATATTTTTTCGAGTTGGTTATAAATTTGACGGGTTTAAAACAAAGTGGGTTATGAGACTTATAATGTTGACATGGTCGGCTCTAAAGCTTACAACACTTACTCCAAACCCGCCCTATTCTTATCCCTACTTTTGTCGAATAGATTATATTATTATATGTAAATATATATATATATATACTCTATTCTTCCGGAAAGTTATATAAGTTTGTTTGTACACAAAAGTTAAGAAAAAATAATATTGTAAAATTAAAGTGGGTGAGTAAAAATAAAGTGGGAGTATTGTAAAAAAGTTATTAAAAATTTAATTAAAACTTGATAATATAAATAAATAAATAAAAAGATAATGACAAATTAATTATTATTTGTTAAAATGAAATAATAAAATTTTAGGTTAATAAAAATGTTTATCGATTATGCAAAATTAGTGGATGGCCAAAAAAATAAATAGTAATATAATTTTAAAGAGTGGATTTAATATTAATTTATTTTTATTATATTAAATTAAATTATATTTAAAACAAAATACATACTTACAAATTTTTTCTTTTACACTTTTAATTTAATCTATATTTTTATTATATTAAATTAAATTATATTTAAAACAATATACATACAAATTTTTTCTTTAACACTTTTAATTTAATCTGTATATTTATTATATTAAATTAAATTATATTTAAACAATATACTTACTTACAAATTTTTTCTTTTAACACTTTTAATTTAATCTGAGAAAAATATTTCATAACATATTCACTTATATATTATATATCACAATCACACCAAGATTACAAGAAAATCTCACTACAAAAATGATGAAATTATTAAAAATATTTTAGGACAAAATATTTTTATAATAAATACTTGTCATTTAATTACAAGATTTAATTTCGTAGTTAACGATAATTTAGGGTATGTTGTTTTTGATAAGTTTGAGAAAATTTTGATTTGAGTTTGGTATTAAAATAACGTACGATAGGATATTTTATAAAAAAAATAATAATATTATTTTTTCGAAAAACATATAATCCAAATAATAAAAATTATGATATTTTGAATCAAAAGAAACGACCCTTATTTATTATGTTCAATAATTCCGTAGCTAGTTGTGACTTAACACCAACGAATTTGAAATATTTTATAATTATTATTTTAAAAAAATAATAATAATTTTAGTCAAATTGTCTACAAGAAAACTACAGGTGTGTTTGGATTTTTATTTTTTATTTTTTTTGGAATTTTAATAGTAAAAAATTGAATTTGAATAGTTGTTTGATATGGTATAAATAAATATTAATATGATGTTTTAAATGCAAAATAAATTTGTTATATAATATATAAAAAATAATTATTTGATTTGATATTTAAAAAAAATAATTTAAATAATAAAAATATGGATAAAATCTACAAAAGAACACAATCTATATTATTATTAAATTTGATTATTTCGATAAATTTAACCAAAATAAAACCATATATACTAATATTAAATCAAAATAAACCAATATTATAATTTATATACTCCTTAAAAACATATAAACAAACATATCATTGTTAAACAAACCCAAATTTAGAATTGCAGCTGCCGCAATCAACGTCTATGTGTTTTTCATTCACCGTCATCATGCCCTCAATCAGTATATAATATTCTTTTTCTTAATTACAAGTTTAGTGTCCTCAATTAGTATATAATATCTTTTTCTTAATTACAAATTTAATATAATGGGTGTCTCTTATAGGAATATTTATTTAAATTTGAGATATGGTTATACATATATATATATATATATATATAATTTTTTTTTTCTTTATTTGAATATTTGGTTGTTAAGAAAATGAACTAAAATATTTTTAAAATTAATTTAAGAGGGTTTTGTTTTATTACGTTCTTTATATATATAGTTATTTTTTATCACTTGTTTGCTTATTCAAGCAGTAGTAGTGTGATGTTTTGGCTTGATATGAATATATTGAAGTGTTGAAAATCTGTAAATTTATCCTGCTTCGCCTCCTCTACCGGTTAAAAAGTTTGAAAAGCCACTATAACTATTTGTATTGAGATAAGCCCCGTAAAATTAGTTGGCTTGTGATAGACCTGGGTTTGCTAGTAGGAATTAGTCATGTTCAATTAGAGATTCCTAATGGAAAGACCAAAATAAGATAAGTAAGAAAAAAATATTTCTCATCTAATATATCTTCACTTTCTTTTATCCGAAGTCAGTTCACGCTTACTAAATTCATGTGATTGTAGAAGAAAATGAAAATAAAAAGAAGAACCTGGCAAAGAGCCTAACTGATGCTCTAAAGCTTGTTTTACTAATAGGTATGTTTTCATCTTAGTTTAGAATAAACATGGCACGTATTCTTTTATACTTTATAGGTTTGTTTTGCTTTGGTAATAGTACCTCTCCCTTTATTTTAAGAGGATAATTTTTTTATATTTTATTATTTTATGGTCAGATTTGGTGGTTATAGCATTTGGGCTGAGCTATTCTTATTCCTTCATCGGATTGTTGTATGGTAGGAAACATTCAAAAAAACAAAGGGCAATCATAATGGGATGGATGATCGTAACAATATTATCGTAATAAATGATAGTTTTTTTTACTCATTTTTTGTGACAAAAAAAATATTTCTGGTCAACACATCAGTTTTAGTTGTTACTCAAATGTTTTTCGTAATAATTACTAATACATGAAAATTTCGTATAATGTACATTAATTACGCTAGCATATTGTAACAAATCTCCTTCTTAATAAAATTTTCTATTTTTTAATATTAAAAAAATCATGTACTCACGTTTTCAACTTTGAGGGGCAACGTGATCCTATTAGGTTCTTTGATAAAGACGAAAATGTTTCAACCCAACACTTAAAAAATTAGGGCATCAAGATTGAAGGGCGTTCTCTCCGAGCGTCTGTCGTGACTAACCTCGTCAAATCCTTCCATCAACGAAGAATTGCTCCGGCACTGGATATCAACTAAGGATTGTCACGTCTCCCCAATCCTTGAATCAATATGTTGTTCCCAAAGCCCAATTCAATCTTTGTAGGTTTGTGTGCGAAGAATGATTCGTCAATCACTTCGTTAGGGTTTCATTGATTTAGAACTTTTTTGGATTGTTTGAAACTAATTCATTAATTTTATTATTTCTAAGAAACGATTCTCAGCGATGATTGGCTGTTGATGTATTTCATTTGACCATCCGACAAACGTGTAGGTGGGTTTTGTCAATTTTGGTTTCCTTTCTTGATCGAACTTGGCGCTGCTTCTTTTTCAATCCGTAGTTTAGGAAAAATATGGATTTCGATTGGGTTTTTGCTGGAAGTACATTCAAAAAATATATTTATTTGCATATTCAAGTATAATACAATTGATACTCCCCCAATAGTATGTTGTTGTCGGGTTTGACAATAATTGTTTACTGATTTAGGTGGGTTAACTTTATGTTTGATGGGTTTTGGGTTTATTGTGTCCACTGCAGGATTCTGTAAGTTGTTTTTATAATTTGTTATTTTTTGTAATGTTAAAATTAAATTTCTTAGAAAGTGTCAAGCTTTTAGCTTTCTGCACGAGGTTAGTGCGCTAAAGTTTGCAATGCCCCTGTAAAGAACACAATATTTCTGTGTAAAGACGTATCTTTAGTGTTTCGAGAGTATTTTTTGATAACTTGAAAAGTATATATAAATATGGTTTATATATTGCATAGTTTCTTCGTTGATTGGATCATGTAATTATGAGTGTGTTTTCTCCCTACCTCCATTGCATTATTTTAGTTTTGCTAATTGTCTCATTGTGTTTATACCAGTTAGTATTGATGCTTTTTTTTTTTTTGAACTAAGCATCAATTTACTTAGTTTTTTTGTTTTACATCTCACAATAGTAATAAGCTATTAGATCATTTTCATGTGTGCGTTTGAGATAACCATAGATTAAAGAATAATGCGTTCATGTGGTGTTATGCTAAATGCTGATTGATGACATCAATTATCAATAAATTTGAGTTTTATATGTACTTTGGTAATAGAAATCTGCATGAAAGTTGGACTACCAGTTTTTAGGAAAGAACTAACACTTCTATTTTTTTCGTACTCCTTCGTTAAACAAGGCAGTGCCTAAGTGGGTCATTGCATATACTAATTCCAAACCTTATAAAGCATTAATTACCTACTCTTTTCAGCCTCTAATATGTTTGAAATATGGTGAATACTTTGTCCCCAGGTCTAAACATGTGAGCC